CGTGAACTGGACGTTATTTTCACGTGGTTGGTTTAGCGTTTGGGGGCCCCTAGTTGGGGACGTTGTTTGTCCGATTTAAGCAGAGAAAACACTGGAAATTGTGCAAATCTCAGATGTTTCCAATGGGTTTTTGGCCGCCGAGGCAACTTTGAATGGCCACAACTCATGCCCAGTTGACCGAAAAACAATGGCCGATTTTTTTATGACAAGATGCCCGGTTTCGGCTTCTGATTTATGCCGGTTTCGATAATGTTTTCGATCGCGATGTCACAAATCAATGCGACATTATGTCGCGAATTAAAATGCCCCCCGTAAATCAGCCACCATTGTCTGGGGGCCAGTATGTAGATGCGGTCTGAATAATGGTTCCGACCAGGGACAAGGTGCACGGTTGCAGCCACGACCTCAAATCCACATCGAAATCCTGAAAAAAATTGAGCGGCCCAAGACGGAACACACGTCTTCTTAGGGCCGAAGCTCGCTTTCCTGATGATGGCCCCCAAATCGAAACTTTGGGCGCAATTGAACCCGACTGGCCGGCACATCAGTTCACCCCATTCAATAAACGAAAATTTATGCATTTTGAAAACTGTGCCGAAAAATGGTCAAAAACTTCCTGCTGATGACCGCCGAACGGAACTTTCAGTGATCGATCAATTACCAGAATTTAAAAAAATCGTCAAAAGTCGCCTGATTTTCACAAAAGATACACTGAGCTTTTTGCTATAAAATGCCACAACAAAGAGAACTTAAGCTCTTTTGCTTCCAAAAAAATGCCCATAAAAATCCCTGATGCTGACACCTGAAAGAAACTTTCACAAAAAGTAGACTGGCTTGTTCTCTATGAAACTCTGACACAAATGGAACTTTGACTATTTTGCACCCGAAAAAATGCGCCAAACAAACCTGAAAAGTCGGACCCACAGAGCAAAAGGCGCCCTAAAATCCTGATGATGGTCCAAAAAACCGAAACTTCACAGCAYTAAAACTCATTTTTCGGTGTACGCATTTAGTGCCTRAAATAACGTRAAACGCTTAGGAAACAAAACTGGGCCAACATAAAACGTTCCCGAAAAATCCTTAATGATGACACCGGAGCGAAACTTTCACGAAAAGTCGACTGGCCTTTTCTCCTATAAAACGCCGAAACAAACAAAACTTTGGCTGTTTTGCACCCGAAAAAATGTGACAAACAAACCAGAAAAGTCGGACCCACAGAGCAAAAGGGGCCCTAAAATCATGAAGATGGTCCAAAAATCCGAAACTTCACAGCATTAAAACTCACTTTTTGATGTACGCATTTGGTGCCTAAAATAACGTAAAACGCTTTAAAAAAAAAAGCAGCGCCAACATAAAACACCCCCGAAAAATCCTTGATGATGACACCGGCACGAAACTTTCACGAAAAGGAGACTGACTTTTTCTGTATAAAACTCTGACACAAACAGAACTTTGACTGTTTTGCACCCGAAAAAATGCGCCAAATAAACCAGAAAAGTCGGACCCACAGAGCAAAAGGCGCCATAAAATCCTGATGATGGTCCAAAAAAACGAAACTTCACAGCACTAAAACTCATTTTTTGGTGTACGCATTTGGTGCCTAAAATAACGTAAAACGCTTTAAAAAAAAAGCAGCGCCAACAAAAAAGGGCTCCCAAACATCCCTGATGATGACACCGGAACGAAAGTTTCACAAAAAAGTAGACTGGCGTTTTTTCTATAAGACGCCGGCACAAACAGAACTTTGGCTATTTTGCACGCGAAAAAATGCGCCAAACAAACCAGAAAAGTCGGACCCACAGAGCAAAAGGCGCCCTAAAATCCTGATGATGGTGACACCGGGACAAAACTTTCACGAAAAGTCGACTGGCGTTTTCTCTATAAAATGCCGAAACAAACGGAACTTTGGCTGTTTTGCACCCAAAAAAATGCGACAAACAAACCCGAAAAATCGGACCCACAGAGCAAAAGGCGCCCTAAAATCCTGATGATGGTCTAAAAAAACCGAAACTTTACAACACTAAAACTCACTTTTTGGGGCATGCATTTAGTGCCCAAAATAGCGTGAAACGCTTAGAAAAAAACTGCGCCAACATAAAATGCCCCCAAAAAATCATTGATGATGACACCGGAAAGAAACTTTCACGAAAAGTCGACTGGCGTTTTCTCCTATAAAACGCCGAAACAAACGGAACTTTGGCGGTTTTGCACCCAAAAAAATGCGCCAAAGAAGCCAGAAAAGTCGGACCCACAGAGAAAAAGGGACCCTAAAATCCTGATGATGGTCCAAAAAAACACCGAAACTTCACAGCACTAAAACTCACTTCTTGGGGCATGCATTTAGTGCCTAAAATAGCGCGAAACGCTTAGAAAAAAAAAGGGCCAACATAAAACGCCCCCGAAAAATCCTTGATGATGACACCGGCACGAAACTTTCACGAAAAGTAGACTGACTTTTTCTGTATAAAACTCTGACACAAACAGAACTTTGGCTGTTTTGCACGCGAAAAAATGCGCCAAACAAACCAGAAAAGTCGGACCCACAGAGCAAAAGGCGCCCTAAAATCCTGATGATGGATGGTCCAAAAAACTGAAACTTCACAGCACTAAAACTTGCTTTTGGTGCACGCATTAAGTGCCTAAAATAACGTGAAACGCTTAGAAAAAAACAGCTCCAACATAAAACGCCCCCCAAAAATACCTGATGATGACACCGGAACGAAACTTTCACAAAAAGTAGACTGGCGTTTTTGACATAAGACGCCGGCACAAACAGAACTTTGGCTGTTTTGCACCCGAAAAAATGCGCCAAACAAACCAGTAAAATCGGGCCCACAGAGCAAAAGGCGCCTTAAAATCCTTATGATGGTGACACCGGGACGAAATTTTCATACTATAAATGGCCAAAATTGTTGCAATTAAGGCAGGAATAAAAATGTCCCCAACTGATTCACAAGCGATTTGATTCAATGTTGAAACTTGAGTGCGTCAAGCTGGCTTCGAAAACTTCAATAATCCGCAAAAATCGCTTCCAATTCAAAACTTTCGCCCCAGATAAACTGAGCTTTTCTCTATAAAATGGAGCAACAAACAGAACTTTGGCTGTTTTGTTTCCAGAAAAATCGGACTTTAAAGGGCAAAAAGGATCATGATAAAGAATAGACAAAATAAACACGAGGCCACTTTGTTGATATGACCTGCTACGTCACAATCGGGATAGGCAACCGACGATACGAATTCGGCGTGTTTGGCGGTAAACATCTGATTTGAATTTAAATTTAAAATTATTATGGAGACTGTTTCTGCAAAAAAATTGTATAAGTGTAATGTTTGCGATAAGTACTTTCTGTATATCAACATTTAAAAAAAAAGTGAAAACACCCTATTAAACTCCTGAATGGTCAAAATTGAATTCCCATCAGATCTTTAATGCATAAAAAGTCTCTTGCCCGCAAAGGAATCCGATGATGACACTTTGAAACGAAAATTTCAACCTATTATGATCAAGGATAAAATATCACCTGATGATGGCGCCAAATCGAAACTTTTGCCACAGCGAAACCGAGCTTTTCTATGTAAAACCCCACGATCTGGTCAAAAACTCCGGCGAAACCTCGACTGTAAACGAGCCGATTTTCTCGAAAAAACCGGCAAATTTACCGCAAACTAGTGCAAAAACAATCCGCCCCTGATGCAATCGGGGCCCTCCATCTCGCCAGGCCTTTGATGGATCCACATTTAATATAAATGAACGAAAAAAACGAAGGTAAAACATGAAACAAAGAGGAAAATCCATTTGGAATATCAGAGTATCCAATCTCTTTTAATCTGTATCAAGTAATCCTCCGAGGTCCACTTTCAGAAAAATGAAGGCATTCCGAAATAAATGAAATGTTTTCCTTCGGGAGACCTGTTTACATTATTTAGTGGGACGTTCATGGCATTCCCGGGGAATCGGATTCTTTCTGGTTTATTTTGGACGGTGGCTGCCACTGAATAGGGCTGCGGTTTCTCGCCATAAAGCAGTTAATTGGGACTTATTGGGAAGGTTTTGGTTAATTGCTATCACCGTGCATCAGGCCTCTGCTGGTCTGGCCAAATGCTGGATGCGCTTGTACGGCAAACACACTCAAAGTTTGGTGAATGTGCCAGCTTTTTGATATGAATCAATGAACAATCATACACGAATTCCGAGACAATTATGTAAAAAAGTCACCATAAGCTTACCGAAAGGCAACGGGGTAAACTGCAGGAGACCTCTAGACGCTAGACTAGGGATTACGGCCGCCCGAAGGGCTCAGATCTCCATCGCCATTCCGTGTGCACATCCGCCATGCGCACTAAACCCACGCACGTTCACCAGGAGCACGAAAATAACCATCCGCACTTCACCACCGTCAAGAAGCTACTGACCGGCCACTCGGGCCGGCCAGCTGAGGGCGTTCGGCTCGACGGCGGCTTCTGATTGGTCGCCGAGTGCAGCCGAGCGCCCGATCCGCGACCTTGACGTGCCAACGACAGGCCAACACAGCGGCGTGTACAGGGATTTTTCTTTAATTGCCCGAAATTTTAAATTCCCCCCAAAGCAAATGCGCCCCAGGGGCGCAGCCCTCGGTCTTTTAACCTCCCACAAGGGTTAGTAGCGTGATTTTGGCCAAGATTTTAGCCAAGATTCGGACTCCTAGGGAGGTTTTTTCAATAAATAGCCCCACTGAAGGGGGCCCAGCCCCAAGGGGCTACGCCCGAGGCTCTTAGGGCCTGCCCCGGGGCTTAACTTGCCAAAAGGCAGGCAGGCTAGCGCAAAACGGGGCCCTGAACCGAGTTTTGTATTGTTCATGACAACTGTCAGTGCTTAAGGGTTTTTGCGGATTTTGAGGCAAATAGCCCGAGAAACCCCGGAAAAATCGGCGTTTTCCAAGCAGGAGCTCGTCCTGAATGCAATGGCGGGCCTCAAAACCGGGGTTTCCAGCCGCAGGGCCACCATCAGGAAAATTCCCTTTGCCCTTGTCAGTGGCGTGCCTCATTGCCAAAAAAATCCTCCAGGTGTATGCCTGGTTGCCTGACGCACCCTCCCGGGCCACCCTGAAGGCTGCTCCTCACGCGTCACTTTGACATATAACCCTCTAGCCATGGACCCTCTTCCTCAAGTGCCCGCCTCCGCGGCCCTCAACGACTCCACAGGGCCGATCCGGGATATTTTCCAGGAATACCTGGAAAGGCCGCAGTTCCCCATTGAGGTGGCCAGAAACATCCGGATCTACTCAGTGGATGACAACCTGAGCCTCAAGGAGGCCGCCAAGAACACTTTGGAGGTTTGACCAAGTTTGCCGCCACCTCCACAGGATTTGTGAGGTTTCCTCCATTAGATCCAGCGCAGTTTGGAGGAGGAGTCGCAGCTGATCAGCGGAGCCGAGTTGGACGTGCTCCAGCAGCTGCCACAGCGGGAGGAAAACGAGTTTTTGAGGGAAATGATGCGCCTCAAGCCCTGCGAGGTGTTTGCCAGCATCTGCCTGCCTGACAAGGTCAAGTATGGGCTTCTGGAGAAATGCGACCTCTATCCGGAGGTGACCAGGCAGTATCTGGGTTGGGAGGGTTTTGAGTGTCTGTCCGCCATTCCCTCATGAGGTTCCGTAGACTTCCGGTTCAACCCCTCCCTGCACCGCTGCCAGAGGTGTTTCCCTATCAAGGAAAACCTGCCCAGCCCCACTAGGGCTGCTCTCGCCAAGGAGGCAAAGGAGAGGGAGCCCCCCAAGGGGCCCCCCCTGATCCTGCAGCCGCCCCAGGTGGTTTTCCAGAACTTCCAGCCCAACTCCTTTTTGGAGGTAAGTGTTTTGGAGGCTTTGAGGCTTGTTTGTGTACCCGAGGGAATCGCAGCAAAGCTTCCAGATCAAGAACGTGAGCAATCGCGTTCAGCGAGTGAGTGTGAAGGCGCTCCCCAAGCGCCCCCAGATCTTCCAGCTTCAGTTCGCCGCCTGCCGGCAGCTGGCGCCCGGCATGTGCCTCAAAGGCGCCATCCGCTTCACTCCCGCCCACTCGAAAAACCTCCAGGACTGCGCCCAGTTCATCAGCGGCGCTGGCCAGCTCCTCACGCTCCCCATCCAGAGCCTCCAATCCCCCCCGCGGCTGCAGGGCGTCATCTTCAAGTCCCCCAGCGGTGTGCCTAGACCCTCCCCAGGCTTTTCCCTACAGCGCCAAAGCGCCCTCAACGACTCCATCGACTTTGGCAGCTGCTTCTGCACCAATCACGTGCTTCTCTCGTTGCTGCTGACCAACCACGGCCACAAGGGCCGCTTTTTCTGGCTGACGGAGGAGGAGTTCGCCGACCAGCACGTGCAGGTGGGCCAATCCCGCTCTCCCTAGCCTGGTAAACCCGGTAGGGAAGCTTCCAGACCATCACCCAGAGCCTGGAAATGAGCACAGGGAGCTTCTGGGTCTACCCCAGCTACTTCGAGCTGTTGCCCGGCGAAATTTGCGAGATCCAGATGTTGTTCCAGCCGATCCGGTGCGGCTTCCAGGCGCAGCCCGTGAGGCTGATGTGCGACAACAACACCTACAGGCAAATCGAGCTGATTGGAGACGCGGTGTGCTTCAACAAGAACATGATCGATGTGGAGGTGAGTGAGGCGGTGGAGGGTTTTGAGGGCGAGCTGAATTTTTGTGCAGATCCCTCATCAAGTGCAGCACCTGCAGAACAGGCCCGGCCATTGCATTTTCCTCGGCTACAGACGGGAGGCGCAGTTCACGTTGAGGATCTCCAACCGCAGTGCGCTGCTCTTGAAGTACCGCCTGGAAATGGGGGACTGGATGCGGGTGGCCAACCTGCCTCCCCAGGGCCTCGCCCCCTACAGCCGCATTGAGGTGACAGTGAGCTGCGTGTGCCCCCCAGAGGTTTCGGGAGGATACAACAGCAGCCAGATGAGGTTTGGAGGCTGTGCTTGCACAGCAAGCACAGCCTCCACTCTACCATTCCAGACTACTCATCCTGGAGGTCCCAGTTGCCAGCCTTGAGAGCCGGGAGGAGCTCCTGGTGGCCAACCGCCAGCCCCAAGAGGAAATTGGGAGAAACCTCGCAGTAAGAATGTCTCCTGATCGCTTAGGGCTTTGCCTCATCACTCCCGTCCTAGCTGGTGGACGTGCAGGTGATGCAGGTGGAGGTGGCATGCTTCCCAGGCTTCCCCCCAGCGGAGGCGGAGCCTCCCAAGGCCCTAACCCCGTGAGCTTGGATCATCGGGGAGCTCCCCAATTTAATCCCGATCTTGTAGGTGCCCGCAGCCCCTTTCCCTACCCGTGCCTACAGCCCAAGTGGAGTTCAGCCGCCCGTTTCTGGACTTCGGCATCCTCCCAGTGGGGGTGGACGTCTCCAAAGCGCTCTCCATCGAAAACCTGGGCTCACTGGAACAGGCCTGGCATATAGAGGAGATGGAGTATCGCCTGGACAATCCCCCCTACGCCCATCTCCTGGAGAATCCTCCGATTTCCCGGAGGCGCGGGCGACTGCGCCCGCGCCAATCCCTCCAGCTCAGCTACCAGTTGCTAGGCAAACCTCCAGGACGTGGGGTCTCCATCCTGGTGCTCCTCACGCGGCCCCCCACTCCCCACGCCCCAGAAGCGCAGAGCATTTGCGTGGTAACCTACGAAGTGATCGAGCTGGACATCCAGGTCGAAACCGGCCACTCCTCCGAAGCCATTCTCTGCCCAATGAAGATGCTCTATGTAGGAGTGCCAGAGGCTTTGAGCTTCGAGCTCCACAACCGCAGCCTCATCCCAGGGGCGTTTCACTTCTTGGAGCCCTGGGGGGCGGACGCCCACAAGGTGCAAGTGGTCTACCAGCCCCTAACAGGTAGGAGGGGTTAAAAGACCCATTTGGAGGCCAACAGTTGCAATCCCCCACTCCCCCAGGCGAGCTAAAGGCAGGGCGTTCGCTGAAGATCCACCTGCAGGTGACCTGCTTTGAGGTGGGGATACTGGAGAAGGTGTTTCTGCGGTGTTTCATTGGACCGGCGCAAGCCCCACTCCAAGTGCGGCTTTTGTGCCTGGTGGACTGCCTCCATGTGTTCTTCCACCTGCCTGACACCGAAGGGGGGAAGGTGCTGTGGCCCCCCAAGGTGATCTATGAGTATAGAGGGGAGTGGAGCAGTTGCTGTCTGTGTGAGGAGGAGGCGCCTCAAGCACAACCAGCGGAGCTCTGCAACCACACTGAAAAAGGGGAGGAAATGGCAAAGGAACCAGGTCTCCTCAACACCCTGCTTAGTGCCGATTCGGAGTTTTTCCTCCAAGAGAGTGTGGTGGAGGTCCAAGGAGTCCCAGCGGGAAAGCGTAAAAGCCCCCACTAAGCCCCGCCCCTAGCCTACTAACTGCAGCCCTTCCCCAGCAAGGAGAGTGAGGTTTTATGTGGAAAACCTCACTCCCAAGGAGGCAAAGTACTGCGTCCAAACCACCAACTACCCAGCCAGAGGATGCGTGAGGCCCACCCAACCAGGTGAGTTCGCTTTGCTGCTGCGCCCTCCCCTACTCCTTTTGCCCGTGGAGCCAGCAGAATCCCTCTGGCGGCACATGATTAAAGCTCAAAGGCACGGCATCTTGGTGCAGCCCCAAACAGTAAGCGGCTGGCTTAACCAGCACCAACTCCTCCCAGTGGATCTTTGGATCTACTCCAACACCTGGGGGCTGTACAGTGAGGAGGTGGTCGTGGACTTGGAGGATATCGCCCCCTTCAGCTTCTCCCTGCTCGTTGAGGTGGTGGGGGGGCCACTGGAGCTCCCCCTAGCCATGGGGCAGGTTCCCCAGCGCCCCACTGTGAGGTGTCAGCGTTTCCCTCTAATCAGCCTCCAAATGGTGCAAGTGCAGCTGTTGTAGGTTAGGGGCAGTTTCCCTGGGCGTGGAGGGCCTGTCCAGGGAGATTTTGGTGAAAAACACCTCCTCAGTTGAAGCCTCAGTGGAATGGCGCGTGGTTTCCTCTGAAAATGTTTGCGAGGACCTCAGTGCTACACCTCCAGAGGAGGCAGTGGGCCTGGAGGTGGCTTTGGGTGCAGGAGAGGGATTGGAGGTGAAGGCTGGCGCTCAGCTCAGTTTACCCATTCTGCTCAAGCCCTCCGCTTTGAGCTTGGAGGAGGATCAGCAGGAGTTCCACTGGCTTCTGCTGGGGAGGATTGTCCCAAAGGACCCAGTTCTCCGGTTGAAGCCCAGCTACTTCCTTAGACAGCCAGCATGTTTGAGGGTGGAGGTGACGGCCACTTTGGTGCAGCCTCAGCTGCAGGTGGAGATGTTGAGTGACTCCCCCGTGCGCATCTACGCCAACCAGGTGGTTTTGGAGAGGTGCAGCAGCTTCCCCCTGGAATGCCTACTCAAAAATCCCACTCCCTCTGCTCTGGAGGTGGAGTTGCAGTGCTCAGACCCTCTCGCCTTGGGCCCTGCGGGGCCCAAGGTCCGCATAGCTCCCCGGCAGTGCCGCAAGGTACTGCCTCTAAGCCCTCCAAAGCCTCCACTCTCCCTTTGGGGGTCGACAGGTGCAACTGGAGTGCCTCCTCAGCTACGAGAAGATCCTCAGGTGGGCCTCCCAGGTCTACAGGAGCATGGAGGCAAAGGAGGTGGCCACGCCCAGAGGCTCAGTGGGGACGGAGGTGAAGCTGCACCCTGGGGAGGAGAGGATGGTTGAGGAGGAGCACAAGGTGCTCACTCTGCATCGGAAGCTCACCATGTATTTTGGAGGAGGAGCCGAAGGGGGAGACAGAATGGTTGGGGGGTTTCCCCAGTTTTGATCGTGACTTAACCTCGAAACTTTTAGGTTATGCCCATTGACATCATGATCTACTACCCGCACATCCAGGTCAAACCGGCCCATGTGAAGTTCGATTATGTGCTGCTGGGCCGCACCCAAAAGGCCATCTTGACCATCTACAATCTGACGGGCAAGCGCACTCCGAAACGGCCACATAACCTTTAAAACGCCCCSCCAYTTTTAGGTTATGCAGTGCTGTTTGARGTTTACAAAACAATTGCTACGCAGGAGATTTACGTCACGCCCTCTAGCGGCCGCATCCCGGAAAGCGTGGGGGCGAATCACAGCTTCAGCATTGTRAACGTGTTCTTCACACCCCAGTAGGTCCAAGGTGGTTTGACGTTTGCTAGTGTCACAGTTTGACAGTTTTTTCGGGYGTGTTGTAGAGGGYGCCGCAGCTACAAGGAGAGCATCAGAATCGTCACTAATATCCCGCAATATTACGTCGATGTGCCCATCAAAGGGGCGGGGTCCTTTAATGAGAAATTCGATTAATTTGATTGAGTTTGATTAAATTTATTTAATTAGTTAATTTAATTTATTGAAAATTGCTTTGTACCCTACCAGGGTTTTGGCGTGTGTGGGACAAGGATGTGACTAGTTGACGTGGTTTGCTCAGGCGCAGTGTTGTCAACAGTATCACGTTTCTGCTGCTCCTGCTATATTTATAGGGAAATTTCGGTTTGACAGTTTTTTCCCCAGAAATCAGTAAAACTAGACAGTTTTTCCGGGTGCGTTTTGTAGACCACAGTCTGTTCTGCAAGTGCGGAGCGTTTCGATTTTCAGTCATCATCAGGGTAATTTCCGGAATTTTTCAAAGCGGCGTCTGTTTTTTTGCGGTAGGTTTTACAGGCCAGAGTTTAGAATTTTTTTACTCTGTAAGCAGCACAGAGAGAACGTTCTTTTGGTGCGCCTCTTGTAGGGCAACGTCCTTTCTATGACCGGACATAGTTTCGAATTTCTGTCATCATCAGGAAATGTTTGAGAAATTTTCAAATTTGCGAATGTTTTACAAGGTTGGTTTTGCAGGCCGGAGTTTGCCTTTTAGTTACTCGGGAACTAA